CCCACCACGTCCTTCCACACACAGCCCCAACCCTCCCCCCAAAATCGTGAATTGTGATTGCCATGACAATGTGCCTTTGATGTTTGCAAGTGTGCTAAGAAAAGACTATCTCCATTCACCCTTGAGGATTTGGGGTGTGACGTGATGACTGTGACATCTTGACTACACCAGTGTGACGAAATGACCATGTGACTAAATGCTGGTATTCGGGACAAAGAAGGTGAGGGGTGGGGGCAGAAAGTGGAGACAAAAGGGGACGACAGATCATAGCTAGAGAGCAGGAAAGGGGGTGAAAGGAGACAATTTTAGCAGGGCTGAGAATGGCACATACCACAAAAAAGGCTGAAAACTTGCAACCCCCCGAAAATTTGGAAAAAAAGAGGCATAAAATAGCTAAATCTTGTTACTTTGGAAGGGTTCGAGGTCTTATTTGTTACCCTAATTTTAGAGAAAAATAATAACACTTTTATCGCACCATTCCCAACGTCACAGGTAACTGGCATCACCATCATCAAACTTATCTCCTTTCGAAAGAATATCAACAGTGCGCTTCGCCACGATGAAGAACAAGCAGACAAGACCCCCAAAAAAAGGCTAGAGGGTTGTGATATACATGGGCCAAAGTCATCACAGTTCTCCACGTAACTACCGGTTCTCGATAATCACAACTGATTGCGATTCTACCAATAATGAAGAAGAATAAAAAGTACTCGATTGAATGGTATTGGCCGAGACACGGATGTGCACACACCTCGGTTTCGTCCAGCGAGCAGTTAAAAAACTTCAAAAAAAACTATTATCGTCTTTCATTCAATTCGTTTGTTTATGCTTACTACAATATTATTATAATACAAAACCCTGAAAAAAGGCGGAAGAGGCGTTCGGGTGAGTGGACGGCGGCATTGCAATGAGCGGAACTCCGCCTTTAGGCGGACAATTCTCAGCCCGCATGTTTAGAGAAGAAAATTTTTCCGTTGCAACCCGGATTCGAACCCTGGACCTTTGAATGAGAAGCAAACACCTTTACCTCTAGACTCTAGGCCACGAGAGCCTCCTCAGTTTTTGAGTTCGTTTAACAACACGAGATCTAAATCACAAAAAAAGACGACAATACAGTTTAGTAAGCAATCGAAAAAGGCCACCGCTATTCTCACCCAATAGCGCAGGTGAACCTTTTGACTATTCTCACCCAGTGTGCCTTTACCGTGATAGGCCAA